GCGTGCGTGGGGGGGTGGGGGCGCCGACACGCATGTGCCCCCCTACACATGCATGCTCCTACTTACTGGCCGAGGCGGCGACCGGAGCCATGGCTGCCAAGGATGCCGAGCCCGCCGGGCGACACCCGCACGGTGGCACCGCCGCTCCGGCGCGAGCGCGCAGAATGGCTATTGAAGGGCAGGAAGCAGGACAGCCGCCCAGTCTCATGCTAATCACCGAGTTCCCTTAGTTAGAGCTCGGATTCCGTCCGGCTTCTCATTTTCATGTAAAACACCCTGCGGCGGCGCTGGGACCTTGGCTGCTGCCCCAGCCTGGAGTCAGCGCTGGGATATTTACATATTTTTAGGGTGGCCCCTCCCCTCGCAGAGGAGAGCCAGCCGTCGTGGGAACAGGCAGATCCGCGGTGCCCTCCTTGCCCACCTGCGCCAACCCCGAAGCAAGCCAGAGCCAGGGAGAGGGGGCGCCACCGCCAGCTCCTCCGACCGTCGCAAACGCCGGGGCGCGGGGTCCACGCGGCCGGGACCACGCAGTGCGGGCGGCCTCGGGTTCTTCCTCTGCCCTTCGAGCCCCGGTGCGGTCGCCACCAGCCAGCTAAGCTGCGTTCGGGGCCACACGCCCCGTCCGGGTTCTGCACAGCTGTTTCTGATCCAACAACCAATCGCTACAGGACAACAATGCGCGCGGCGAGCGAGGAGAGGAGGGGGGCGATGTGTCGCCCCGGCCGGGACGCTGGGCCCGGGACGCGGGCCCGGGACGTGGAGGTCACGCCGCGTTAAAGGCGCCGAGCCACACTGCTGCCGACCTCCGCCTCGCTCCGCCACTGCCGCTTTTTCAAAAACGCCTATCTCCCCAGGTGGGTATCCAAAAAATACTTCGGTGCTATAAACAATAAAATTAAATCTGATGTTCTTTTTCAACGTTGTCTTTTATCTCACGTTTGCGCATTTTCTTCCTCTGTGACGACACGACGTTCACAGTCATTTCTATGCTGCTATTTCTTATACGCAGGTGCCGAGATGCAGAGACGTGGATATGAAATCTTTATCAGGATATGCTCATTCAGGCGGATCCCGCAAAAAAAGCCATCAGATTCTAAATGGTCAAGATTCGGTAAGTTCGAGCAAAGCCTGGTGCTATTCCAAGGTTTGAATTCTTTGGGGTGCAGCGAGGTCCTAGGAGAAGCAGGCGGGGGAGGGGGGGCGGGGTCAAACCGGGAGTGTTCTCAAATCTAGAACTAGAGGCTCCATCGCTGGGTATCTCCAGGTTGCCCTCTGTAACCAGAGGCAAGAGTAACATCTATCTTTTGGGATACTAGAGGTAAATAAACAATTACTAACACTAATCAAAATGTACTACTACCTATAAACCAATTAGCTAATGTTGTGGCATTTTCTTAAAATAGTAGGAACAGATAATCCCCTGAAAGGTATATTTTGCTAAAAAAACCTTTAGTATAAAAGAGAATTGCTAGGAGCAAGAGTACAGCTTTAGAAGCTATAGAAGGCTAAATGTGTAAAGGAACATAAATGTGATACAAATGACTGTATTAACAAATGCAGGAAATATTCCTATTTGGATATTTAAATTCAGTTCAACAATTACTCAGTACCTCCAGGAGCCAAAAGTGATTAAAGAGTGATTGTCTAGTGCTCGCCAGAAACACAGAGAGACAGAAAGCAAGAAATCACACCCACCCACCCCCACCCCCCAGGAGGGATGGCCACACTGCAATCCCTTCTCCTCCATTCTCCTCTTGGGATCTTGGGCACATATGCACGCCAGGTGTGAGTTTAAGCCACCAGGTCCAGTACTCGAACCGCGGCTGACTACATGAGAGTCCAGCTATGTAGCCATTAGGTCATCTGCTGGTCCCGAGCAAATTCTTATTAACTGTCTAAGTATATGTCAACACTGGGATGGGTGATGAGCCATACCAAACATAGCCCCACACAGTTAACGGTCTGCTAGGAGAGAGACACAGTAAATGAATATATGCACACTGTGCAGACTTCTATGAAGAAATTTCACCTCTAGAGGAAATGACAATTGAGCTAAGACCTATAGAAGGAGAAGCCACCCAAGCAATGAGTGGAAAAAATAGTGTTCAGAAAGTGGGAACAGCGGTTTTGATGGAAGAAGTTAAGGGATGGCCCAGCAGGTGGCATGGTGGTTAAGGGCACTGAACTCCCACAGGGCCAACCACATTTTGAGTCCCGAACCTGGCGGCTTGCTTTCTCACTTGCTTTTTCTCTGTCCCTCTCTGGTTAAATTAAAATAAATAAATTAAATAAACAAAGTTAAATAAAATAATTATTTTTTTTAGAAAAAAAGAGGAAGTCAGGACCAGCAGTTGGTGTAATGGCTACATCGCTGGACTCCCATGTAGCCAACTGCAGTGGCTTAAACTCATGCCTGTGTGCCCAAGATGCCGAGAGGAGAACGGAGGAGAAGGGATTGTGGCGTGGCCATCCCCTCTGGGGGGTGATTTCTCACTTTCTGTCTGTCTTTGTCTTTCTGGAGAGCGCACATGCCCTATAAAAAAAAAGGAAGTGAAGGGCCAGTGTGACTAGAGTTGGAGCGTAATAAGAAAGAGCTGTGTGATGATGTCATGGAGGGAGGGGAAAGTCGAATCCTGCAAGGACTTGCAGGCCACGTTAAAGATCATGCATTCTATTCCAAGGGCAGTATAAACGGCTGAAGGGTTTAAAGCAAAGAAGCAGTGACCATTTTAGAATTTCTGTGCAGAAGGTGCTAAGAGAAGAGAATCTGTTTGAAGATAGGAAGTAAGTTTGGGTCACACTAGACTAAAAACAGCAAGAACATTAATCATTCCTACGAAAGAATGAGGGTGGGTTCCTGGATACTTGGGGAGGAGGGCTACAGCTCACTTAGCCTCCTCTGAAGTGGTGTGTCCTCCTGTGCCCGTGGCCAAACAGCCAAACACAGCTGAATCGGGCAGTCAATCAGATCCAGTGGTTACAAGAGAGGGATGGGCAGTGAAGGCATTTATCCACACAAATCAAGTGATGAGGTTATGTTGGATGAGGTTATGAAAGGAAGGCTTAAATCTGGCCAACAGCACATTGCGAAACCACCCCTGTGTGAAGAGAATCAATGTGGAATTCTTTTTAGCCACTGCTAAAATCCTACTCCGTGTGTCTACCTGTGTTAGGACAAAGTTCACTTCAGGTCGTACGCAATCTCTAGGTCCCTAGTCCCAGTTTCGAATCTCTCAATCTACCTGAGCCCATCATGTATCTGGGCTGTGACCTGTCCACCAAGTAAACTCAATTTTGTAACCACAGTATTCAACACTGGGCCAGTTTACAAAGAAATGAAGAAGTAATAAAGCAAATCAATTGTATAGTATTAGTATTTTTTTCACCAGGCTTAAGAATAATTTGTATATTTGGTATTTACATGTCAGATGGATTAGAGACTAATTAGACATATTTGCTTTGGGATTATAATTTAATGTGTCATTGATTTTAGACTTTAATCTTATATTGAAAGGTATAAGAATTTTGACATTGACATTCTCTTCATTTAAAACGTTGGTTTATTAGGTTTACAACAGTGGAATCAGGGTAAGAAACACTTTCTGTTCTATTGATTGTTCTAGTCATTGCTGCTCATGGTTCCATTCTGTTCATGTTTGTTTCCCCAGTGACTAGCTATGCCTGGCATGTGTTGATGGCCAACGAAGCCTGATTAAGTACTTGGGAAGATCTGGATTGAAGTCCACCAGCCAGATATGTTTACTACTTTTTAAAATTAAACAGACCAAGAACAATGACACCCAAAGCACAAGCAATAAATGGAAAAACAAATTAGACTTCACAAAAATGTTTAAAATTTATGCATCAAAAGACACCCCCAAGAGAGAAAAAAGACAAACCACAGGATGAGAGAAAATGTTTGCAAATCATGTATTTGATTAAAGATTGGTATCCAGAACAATAGAGAGCCTCTACAAATCAACTGCAAAAAACAAACAGACAAATAACCTAACTTCAAAAATGGGCAAAGGACTTGAACTGTCATTTTTTTCAAAGAAGATATACAAATGGCCAGTAAGCACATGAAAAGATGCTCAGCTAATCATTAAGAGAAACGCAAGTCAAAACTGCAGTGTGATACCATTCCCCACCTAATGAGATGACTACTGTTTAAAGAGAAAGAAAGAAAAGAAAAAGCTCTGGAAATGATGTAGAGAAATTTGAACACTTGTACTCTGGTTGTTAGCAATGCAAAATATCACAGGTATTGTGGAAAAAAGTACAGCAATTCCTGAAAAAATTAAAAATAAAACTGCCATATGATCCAGCTATTCTACTACACGTTATAAACCCCAAATAACTGAAAGCCAAGTCTCGAGATACTTGTACATCTACATTCATAATAGCATTATTCACAATAGCTAAAATGTACAGGGAGGAAAATATTCAAAAACTCTGTGGGAAATGGATATATATATATATTTTTTTTTTGGAGAGATTTTCACTGTAGGGCGCGTACGCTCGCCAGACAGACAGAGAGAGACATAGAGACAGAAAGTGAGAAATCACCCCCCAGGAGGGATGGTCACGCTGCAATCCCTTCTCCTCCATTCTCCTCTCGGGATCTTGGGCATGCACGCACACGCGCCCAGCGTGAGTTTTAAGCCACCGGGTCCGGGACACGAACTGCGGTCGACTACGTGGGAGTCCAGCGACATAGCCATTACACTAACTGCTGGTTCCTCCTGTGGGAAATGGATATTATTAAACTAGCATGGATTTCAAATTTTTTGCATCTAACTCAGAGTTTGATTTAATTTTTCCACACCCTGTCATAGAAGCAACCTGGATATCCATTTGCAAATAAATACATGAGCAATATGTGGTGTATACACACAGTGAGATATTACTCAGCCTTTCAAAAGAAGGAAATTCTTGGGGCCAGCACATGGAGTGGTGGTTACGGTGCTAGATTCCACATGGCAAACTCCACAGTTCGAGTCTCAGGTCCAGCAGCTTGAAAAACACACCAGGCACATGTGCGTGAATACCCAAAATTCCAAGAGGAGAATGGAGAAAGGACTGAAGAATGGCCATTCCCCCAGGGGGGTGATTTCTCTCTCTCTCCCCGCCCCAGCAAGCTCACATACCCTAGGGCAAAAATTAAAAAAAAAAAAAAAAGGAAATTCGAACACATTCTACAACATGTATGAATCTTGAAAACATTATGCTCAGTGAAATGTCAGTCAAAAAAAGACAAACTGTTATGACTCCACTTAAACAAGGTACTTAAAATTGTCAAATTGGGGACTGGCAGGTGCCATGGTGGTTAAGGCACTGGATTCCCACATGGCTGACCACTGTTTGCGTCCTGGACTTAGTAGCTTGAAAATCACAGTGGGCTCATGTGCATGTGTCCAAAATCCTAAGAGAATGGAGGAGAAGGGACTCCACCCCCATGGAGGTGGGAGTGTGATTTCTCACTTTCTCTGTGTCTCTGACAAGCACCCATGTCCTGTGGCAAAAACCTTTAAAAACACTTTTTTAAATCAAATAAAACAGTCAAGTTAATAGAGACAGAAAGTTCGGTGGTGGCTGCCAACAGTTGTGGGGGGGGCGGGGGGGTGGGGGAGGAGAAATGGGCAGTTACTGTGTGATGGGTACAGAGTTTGTTTCATGAGATGGAGAATTGGAGATAGGTGGTGATGGATACATTAACATTATGAAGGTGGCCCAGCAGGTGGCATGGTGATTAAGTGTGCTGGACTCCTACAGGGCCAACCAGGTTCGAATCCCAGACCTGGTGCCTTGCTTTCTCACTTTCCCTCTCTCTTTCTCTCTCTCACTCTGTCCCTCTCTGGTCAAATTTAAATAAATAAATAAATAAATGGTTTTTTTTTTTAATGGTTCTTTTTTTAAAAAATTATGAATGTATATAACTTCACTGAGCTATACCCTTAACAGTGGTTACGGGGATACATTTGTTGTTATGTGTATTTTACCTCAATAAAAACATAATAATAATGGGGCCAGCAGGAAGCGTAGTGGTTGAGGCAATGGGTTCCATGTGGTAGACAAAATCTCAAGAGGAGAATGGAGAAGAGACTGCAGCATGGCCATGCACCCTAGGGGGTGATTTCTCATTTTCTCCGTCTGTCCCTCCATCAAGTGCACACACCCCATACCAAAAGTCGAAAAATAAATAATGCTTTAAAAATCAAGTGTATCAAATTTATAGATACAATTAAAGTATGTAAGGGAATGTATTTAACTGTATTATAATAGGGCTAATTGCTGAGTAAAGGAATTGTTTTTCATTTGAGCAGGTCAAATGTTTTTCAGGGGGCCAGAGGGTTGCACAGTGGTGGAACCTTGCACTCCAAAAGGCTTGCCCCCTGTGAAAAGGTTCTGGGTTTGTGTCTGAAGACCTCCCTGGTTATGCTAGGTACACAGATGCTTGTGATCCAGGGCTGGCTGGGGAGGGGATGGACTGTGGCGTTAAGACCCTGCTGGGGATACTCCGTCTCTGTCTCTGTCTCTCTCTCTTGCTCTTGCTCATGGAAGAAACAAACACATGAAACATTAAAAAAATACTTTTTCAAAGTTCCTGAGAGTTATAATCTTTATTTATTATTTCTAAAATACCAGGTTTACAAATAGAATATATTGAGTCTAGGGGACCAGCAGGTGGTGTGGTGGTTCAGGCGCTGGACACTCCCATATGGTCAACCAGGGTTTGAATCCTGAATCTGGTAGCTTGCTTTCTCACTCTCTCTCACTCTCACCCTCTGTCTCTCTCTGGTCAAATTTAAAAAATAAATGAATAAATAAATAAAATAAAAATACATAATTATTTTTAAAAATATATTGAGTCTATAAAGTTATGGAAATTTTGATTTTTCAATTTGCATCTCTAGTAAAGGAAAAGTTCTGGTATAAATTTGCATCTCTGGTGTGCAGAACATAAATTAAAGCCTAAGCATCTTATAAACCTCTTTGCTTGTGTACAGAAAGCCTCTCTCAGACATGGAAAAGCCCACTGAAGATGAAGATCGAAAGATGAAACAGATGAGAAAGACTCCTGAAGTGATAAAGGACAAGGTGGGTATGAGTGAAAAATAAACCTCAACATATAAACGTTAAGAAGTAACCGACCTGAGCCTTGCCCTTGATGGCTAGAGATGGATTTCAATCCAGGACGTTCCAAACACACAGCACCCTGGGTACAGCAAAGCCCACCGACAGGTACTGGCAACTTCCATTATTATATAGCAGATTCATCAAGTTGAAATTCTCAGCGGCAGTCCATTGAAACTGTAACCAAAGATACCTCTGGCCTCTTTTATTACCAAATCCCGATTTGGGCACTGCTAAATATGCAGAAAGGCAATAGGTGTACCTACGTATTATGTATGTATGTGATGTGCAGAAAGGCAATAGGTGTACATATGTATTACGTATGTATGCGATGTATGCATGGAAGCTCAGGATTAAACCATTCACTAAATAAAAATCAGAATTCAGAATCTGATAATCATTTATCTTTCTGCTTCTTTCTGAAACAAGATTTGAAAAAAAAAATTAACAGTTTAATTTGGTTAAGAGCTGAGTGGTCAAAAACACAGAGACACATACACATATGCATACACTTTGGTGCTGGGGGGTAGCATGAATCAGGTTCCGAAGCAAATGGAATCTGGAAAAAGAACATGCCCCTGGAGGACTGGAGGGTTTTCCTAAGTCGATGAGGTAGAAAAATCAGGGGGACTTCTTGTAGGATGGCTATCTGTGCTCATATTCATAGGCACATACTTATGGCCTGGGATAGTTTGGCCTCCAAAAGCAGTTAACTAAGATAGCTACCCAAAGCCTGGTCCCCAGGGCACATTCAGATGGTTTAGTCTTCCTTAACCCAGGCTCTGGGACCAGCAGTTGGCGTAATGGCTGTCGCTGGACTCCCATGTAGTCAACCGCGGTTTGAGTCCCGGACCCGGTGGCTTAAACTCATGCCAGACACATGTGCGTGCCCAAGATCCCGAGAGGAGAATGGAGGAGAAAGGATTGCGGTGTGGCCATCTCCCCTGGGGAGTGGTTTCTCGCTTTCTGTCTCTCTGTCTCTGCCTTTCTGGCAAGTGTACACGCCATATAACAAAAATCTCTCCAAAAAGAAAAAAAAAAACACCAAAAAACAAAAAACCACCCAGGCTCTAAAGTGTCAGTCACAACTTTATCAGAAAGCTCCAGCTTTCTGTTAGGACTGGGTTATAGGTAGTAATGTCAATGAATTCTATTTGTGGTCTCCTTTAGATTATCTCTATTGTATGCAACACCAGTGTGCATGGTTAAATTGCTGGTATTTATTTACGTTTTTAAAATTTTTATTTATTCATTCATTTATTATTTTTAAGCTTTTTTGCTGTAGGGCGCATGGACTCACTAGAGAGAGACAGAGAGAGGAAAAGTGAGAAATCACTCCACAAGAGGGATGGCAACGCTACAATCCCTTCTCTTCCATTCTCTTTCCGGGATTTTGGATACACATGTACATGCACCCAGCATGATTTTTAAGCCACCAGGTCTAGAACTTGAACCGTGTTCAGCGATATGGCACCTTAACCACCAACCTACCTACTGGTCCTATGTTGTTGACATTTAGAGCTGCATCTCCCAGTGATGTGCTCTGGGGGAACACTTGTTCCAAGACATGTTAACAGATATGACTTGAAAAGAAGGTTCTATAGTCAGGTAATTTTGAAAAGTATGTGAAAGCCGAAAGTGTCAGCTGAACCTCTCAGAGCCTTTAATAGCTTTTCTTT